TATAAAGTGATCAGCTCCCATTTGGCCGACGTACTAGCTGTTTCACTGAATTTATTTTTCTAGTAACTTAATATAACTTATAAGTTACAAATTACATGCTTATTAATATATTTACGTATCATGTATTCATATAAATTTACATATACGCAATTATTAGATACCCCCTTATAAAGTGATAAATAAAAATTCGATAATTGTATTAAAATAATAAAAATAATATAAAATAGTTTCTTAAATAGTTAAAATTATTTTTTTGTGTTTAATTAAATAACTAATATTATCCTAATAATCAATCCATTTCATCTATAGTTTATCGCTTGTCACTCTTTCTTAAGACAGCATTTTCTTTGTTCGAACTTAATGTAGGTATTTATTGTAAATTCTATTAATTTGTTTTCCTCGTTGGAAAAGTTTCATGTCATCCTCAATTTTAAGATGTTAGTTGTTAGTTTTTCGCCTATCTGTATTTCAGTGGCTCCAAATATATAGACTATATCTAGGCGCTAAATCGTCTAACAATATTTCAACAAAATAATTTAAAAATTCTTCCACTTTTTGATTATTCTCTGGTCTTTATTACAGTCTTTATCACTTTTATAATTATTAGCCATAAACTATCTAGCTATTTTTTTGGGAATTATAGATAAAACTGAAAGTCTACAAACCAAAGTTTTAATTAGTGAATCACCTCTAAATTGAACATATAATCATTTCAAAGACCAACATCAAAAATACTTTCATATAAATCACCTGAGTATAGTGGAAAAGACATCCGTGAATTTATGCATCCGGAATCTACTGTCAATACTCGTACATTTGAAATTATCACGCGAGTTTTGCAGTTTTCAACACACTTGCAATATTTTTTATTTTTTATCGTTTTATTAATTCTAAAATAATAGTTATTAAAAATAAGGCATTCCTCTTTACGTTGTGCAGAAATATATTCAAAATTAATTAATTTATAATTGTATATGTTTATTTTAAAATGTAAATTATAAATGCGCAGACACGAATTATTATAATCATATACGATACCGGCCGTACCGTGTTATCGACTTTGCAGTTATCGCCGCGGCCACGACATTCTATTCATCCTATTTTATTTATACGATTATCGGAAATAGTATAGTACTGAAATCGTTTCAAACGATAAATACTTCATTGTGTTTATTTATCGTTTAATAAACCACAAGTTCACAGCCATGTTTTAAAACAAAAATAATTTGAGAATGAAATTCATTTGATGGCGAAACGGGATACGACCGTGTAAAGCTATGCCATAATACAAATTGTTAAACTAACAATTCTGTATGATATTTATCTAATAGTATATAAATATACATGTAATATAAATATATATATACATGCGTAGATAAATATGGGTGCATTTTGCGGGCTAACGTTACATGCACGACTGTTGATTATTATTGTTGGACACAATAATATCAATACATGGTCAGACCATGCGGTCGTCGGCAGTATCCCTGAAAATAAGTATATATATATATAGGTATATGTATATCGCAGGACTTTACTTACCGTGCATGTTTATTGTATAGTACTAAACATATATACGATAAGGTGGTTCACGGGTATACGCATTTTATTGATCTTTTTTTTTTTTTGCGTGGGTTATGAAAAAAATAAAAAATATATTAATAATAATAATAATAATAAAATAAAATATTCTCACGGCACATAGGTACACAAATAAGACCGATACGGCAAAAAAACGGTAATTTTTTCTTCGTGGTTTTACCCTTCATCGCGATAAATAGCCCGCAGAGACTATACGCACGGCGATTTATTGTACGAATATACCTACGTATTGTGTGTCTGTGTGGGTATAATGTGTTCCTGTATATTTATTACATTGTGTGGTGGTCGGATCCACTGCGTGAAATCGACGAAACCGGTAGTCGGTATAATAATGATACTATATATTATATTATACGTATATACCTATTATATTATATGCATTATACACGTGTATACTGCGCGGTGGCGCGGGTGCGCGACGGTAATTTTTTTCCGTATAATATTTTCTTTTCGTTTTTATTTTTATTTTTCAATCACGTGCATTATGCATACGAGGGACGTTTTCACACGTCTTCGACACTATGCGTACGATGCAGAGGGTATGTAAATGTCGGTTTGACGGCGGAAGCCTATATACGCTCACAATAATAACTTTTTCCACGTTATAATATTACATAACGTTTACAACGCCTTTTTATACAAAAACGATGATGTGTTTATTATCTAAACCGCTTATGCCAACAGTGTTAACGTTTCTTTATAGTTTACATAAGAATATACTTATATTAGTGTATAGCAGCCACATGTATATATGTAGGCAATATATTAAATATTATTGTTGTATTGTTAACGTGTACGATTTCTCAACATGTTTTATACGTAAACCTATATTATTTAACCTATAATAAAAAATTGAACATTGGTATACATCATGCAATTATTATTATTTTACATTCGAATTTACGTAAACTATATTTATAAGCATTATACACCTGTGCCTGTATGTACAATAATCTATATACAAGACTGACGAATGGCTAAAATAGGATATTTAAATCCCGGTGTAAACCTTCGTTTTGTAGTGAATTTAAAAAATTCAAAAATTGATGCAATTTCTGTAAAAAAACTTAATTATTATTAAAATATATAAAAATTTTTTATTTTTACTTTGTGATCTTCGATAGATTATTACAAAAAGAGAAACTAATACATTTTTATTTTGAATGATTCATTTTTTTTTTAATGTACATTTATAATACGTAAAAATGTCTTAGATTTTTAGCGGAACAAAGAATGTATTGTGTATTTACTTTAAAATGATATGTGTTATTATTTTTTTTTTTTTGACAGACATAGCATCCTGAAAATAGTGACAATCTATTTTCTATTAATAATTGGAAGTCTCAAGTACAGAATGATTGCTTTTATTGTTTATGAAATTTATATTTTTTCTTTTACTATATCAACAATACTGAACATTATCCTTGTTTAGATGATGAACAGGTGTGATCCTTAGACATTTAAAAAAATGACTAAACCTATATTATTAGTTATTATAATAGACGAGTAGTAAATAAAACGGTTAAATAAAAATAACATAATGAAATCATGAGGAATATAAATTCATTATATTATGTTTTATCTTAGACTTATTATCTGGGTATACATATACTTATTTTTTATGTTTTTAACTTTTCTGTCTTGAAGGTCATGTTAACTTAACGGTATACTCTTTTTACTTTAGGAACGAATAAGGTATATATTTGCATTATCAATCTACTTAACATTTTAACCTTCGAGCCCCAGTTATAGAAGTATAGGTACCTATTGTTAATTTATCAATGCTCTTAATTAGTCTTTGATGTTTCTATGTTTGTATATTTACTGTAAGTCTATAGCTGTACATTTTATTTAATTTATCATTAAATAGTTTCGAGTTGCAATTATTTATTGATAAGAGTTTAATGAAAAAAGACTATCAGATACAAACACCGGATGTTTGGGATTCGTCTCAGCTAATAATGATAAGTAATGAAAAATAACTGGTCATGACAGTATTGTATGTATACTTTATACATCGAGATTATTTTTTATTACAATTTTGTAATTCTACATGATCTTTAACTTTAAACGTAAAAATCTGAAATATGTATGTAAATTATGAAAAACAAGAATATACCTGTTGTTATTAAAAGTATAAAATATAAAATGAAATTTTAATATATATATATATATATATATATGTATATTATATCTGTTTAAAATATTGCAAATCAGATTCAAGATAAAAAAATATTATCTTTAATGTTGTATTACTATAAGAAATCAATGATAAATCATCATAATCATAAAAACGTTTTTATGTATTATTGAAAATATATTTTATTTTATTTTTTAGTAAGTACCTACTTAATGAATTTTTTGGTTGAATATTATACAACATATTCACGTATTTACGTGTGGTATATCAATATGAATATAATATGGTTTACAACTTTCCACTGAAATTTTAAATACACTTAAGCAAAAATATAAATTCTATAAAAGAAAATATAAAAAAATCATAAAATAAGTACGATTCATATTTAAAATAAATAATAAACTCCATTGTTATTTAATATATAATGTTTGGTTAATCAAACAACAATTTAAACCCATAAATATATGCAAAAAAATACTTTGTAATTTAATTTAAATGGTATTAAGAAACACATACATCACACATACACATTGTAAAATTAAAAAAAAATCATCGATCGATCCGCATAAAACCAAAAATTAGAGTCAATTCACATAAAAAATTATGAAAGATTAAAGTTCTAATTTTAACAACATTGGATATTATTATTTATTTACGATTTATGTCCAACCAATTTATGTTATTTAGTTATTATTCGAAAAATATAGATAGTGAAAATTTGAAATATATACCAACAGATTTTCTATAGTCAGTGAAATCTTCAAAATATCTCGACACATTTAAAGCTATTTATAGGCATTTCAAATGTTTAAATTTTTTAAATATTTTTAAAAATGTTGATATAAATATTTATGCTATATGAAAAAGCTTGAAAGTTTGATGTAAGAGTCATTAAGAAATTTAATTTTTTTTAAATACCTATATGGGCAGTAGGCACAATTCTTTTGAGCATTTAAAGTTCGACAAAATTTTCAAATAATTATTTTATGATTTTATATTTTTATTATTCGGTCGATATAATCAGTGTTGGGCATTATCTAGATTAAATTATCTAGATAAATTATCTAGATACAATTTTTGTATATTTTATCTCATCTAGGTAATTTTTAAATGATTTATCTATTATCTTATCTAGATAATAAAAACGGTCTTTTTTTTTTAAATTATCTAGATAATTATTTACTGAATTGTCTGTTATTTTTTTTTTATACTTATTAAACAAAACATAACAATTAACAACTAGGTTTGTTCTTTGCAACTAGTAAAGTTGTTATCTATCACCACTATCACAATGGGTATACTAATTCCACAATATTACCATTTTCTGTAAAACAGCTGTCAGCTTATATTCTGTGGTATTAGGATCTACCGATCGCGATTGTGTGTTATCAATGTTATCATATTATATCAGTTGAGTTTTATATTGCATAATATACCGATTATACCGTTAAGATTTTGATTTTGGTTTATCGACTTTTAGTTATTAGTGTCTAAGTGTCTTTAGTTAAATTATTTTTTATAGACAGTTGAATTAATACATCTTAAGAGATGGAAAAATTTGTACAAAAAACGCGTAAACGTCAACTACAAGATGACAATGATTCTGTTGAAGAAGTGGAATCATCAATTGTTGAAGAAACAGATAAACCAAAAAATAATGTTATTGATACTAATGATACCAAATTAAACTTTAATTATTTATTTGAAAATTTCTTTACCGTAATTTCCATCAATGTAAAAAAATTAAATGCGGTTTGTCAAAATTGTCAAAAAGTGATATGTGGTTCTACATCATCTTCGGGAAATTTTTTAAGCCATATTAAGGTAATATAAATAAAGAATTAAAATTGTATATAAGTATTTAAAAAGTAAAAACACAATATGATAATATATTTAAAATATTTAACTTGTGTCATAAATAAATACAAATGTATTGAATAAAAATTATTTTAGCTTAAGCATCCTGGACTAATGGATAAACTGAAAAGTTGTAGAGAACGTTACAAAAAACCTAAAAATGTATTAACACAATCTAAATTATGTCACATGACAAGTCAAACATATAATCCAATTTCGACAAAATTGTCCAAGGAAAAGGTAAAATATTACAATGGATACTAATAAGTAATAAATAAATAACAATACACTTCAATAAGTATATTTAATTTTAACTATTATTTTATTGTGATTAATATAGATTACGGATTTAGTATTCAACTATATTTTACAAGAAATGCGACCACTGTCAACATGTGAAAAGCCAGCATTCAAAAATTTAATTAAAGGTCTAACAAATAATGAAGAAATATACATACCGGATCACCGTGTAATCGGTGCAAAACTTAATGAAGATTATAAAGCTTATGTAACTAAATTAACTGAGCAGATTTCAATGAAATCTTATATATGCACCACAGCTGATATATGGAGCTGTAATAATAAAAGTTATTTTGGCATGACAGTTCATTTCATCGACGAAACTACATTCAAAAGATCTTCTTATGCTCTTGCTTGTCGACGTATACAAGGTAGTCACAATTACATAAATATTGCAAAGACCATCACTGATATATTAAATAATTTTTGCATAAATGTGACAAAAATATCGCACACAGTCACTGACAACGCCTCTAACTTTGGAAAAGCTTTTCGGGTTTATAACCAACAATATATTGCTTCAAATGTAACCACAGATACAACAAATGACACAAATGATTTAAATACTTCTATTGACGTTGATGTAACTGATATGTCATCTATTATTGACGATATTCAAAAATATATTTCAAATGAACATATAGATGATGATGAAGAACTTATTCTCCTGCCAAATCATATGACTTGCTCCGCACACACATTAAACTTAATTGCAACAATAGACACAACAAATATTACAGAACAAAAGTATCGAACAATTTCAAGAAGTACTTTTGGAAAGATAAATGCTTTTTGGAATATTTTAAGCAGAAGTTCAACTGCTTCTGATAAAGTGTTTAAAATATGTAATTGTAAATTTCCTGTGCCGGTAGTAACACGTTGGAATTCATTTTTTGATGCAATTCAAAAACTTGTTCTTCATCAAACTAATGTCACCGAAGCAATTAATGAACTAAAATTAACAAAATTAAAAAGTACTGAATGGTCATTTTTACAAGAATATTGTCAAGTTGTAGAACCATTAGCGACTTCATTAGATAAACTCCAAGGCGAGGATTCATGTTTTTTGGGATTTGTTGCTCCAACAATATTATCATTAATGAACAAACTTATGAATACTTCCCACTTGGTTTATTGTCAACCATTATGTTCAGCAATTTCTAAAGGACTAGAAAAAAGATTCAAAGCTGTATTAGATTTGAATCTGCCTGAGAGCAAACCATATATTTTAGCATCTGTTAGCCATCCAAAGTTTCGATTAAACTGGGTTCCACCTATTTTCATACAAACTTGTAAATCATTATTTTTGTCTGAATGTAATCTTGTTGGTTCAATAAATAGCTCACAGCTAAGCCAGTCTACTAATTCGGAAGACAGCGATGACTTTTTTGAATGCATTATGCCATCATCTCAATTGTCTGATACCTACGGTAGCTGCAGTTTATCAGCAAATGTTCAAGCGCTAACTTTTTTAGACATTAAAAAAAAAGAAACAAAAAATCTGCATATATTGAATCAGTATCCAATTGTGAAACAAGTTTTTCTCAAATACAATACGACTTTACCTTCCTCAGCCCCAGTTGAGAGATTATTTAGTGCAGGCAGTCAAATACTGACACCTCGAAGAAATCGTCTAAAAGACAACACTTTTGAACAATTACTATGCTTAAGATCAACTAAAGAATAGGTTAGGTTACTTATTACTTATAATATTATATTAATGACCACAATAATTGACTAATATTACATATAAATGTAATATCGTATTTTAATATTTATATAAATTAAATGTTTTTTTTTTTTTTTTTAAAAATATGTAACCAAATAAATCAAACGTTACAAACTACCAATTTGTTTATATGACATAAAATAAATAAAATATCAATGTAAATTTATAGTATATTTTTTTTTATATATATAATCAGATATCAGCTAAAGTTTATTTTTATAAATTATCTAAGTATTATCTAGATAATTTTTTCTTGAAACTATCTATTATCTAAATGATTTTATTTAAATTAATCTATTATCTCATCTAGATGATTATATTAATAAATATCTATTATCTTATCTAGATAATTATTTGATTATCTATGCCCAACACTGGATATAATCGAAAAAATATGAATATTACCGAGTCGACCCGCGCGGGAGACGAGTAATATAGTGTACGATGATATCGCACGCGCATCTTTTATCGAGCGGCCCGCCACGTGCCGCTTGCCACCACCGACGCCACCGCCACGAGACGTAAATATGGCGCGCGTATTAAAATGTATATTTTAATCGATTACGCCATGTACACAGTATACACGTTTGTGGGATGTACTGCGCGCATTTAACAATTATTTACAGTAACATTACCATATTTTGTTTTGTTCTTTATTAGAATCGATGGTGGACGGGTGGGCATAATAATTTATAACAGTTCATCGTCACGAATAATAAATAAGTACTTGTAATATAATAACATATTGTTAGGAATTGTAACATACCTATATTATAATATATGCGTGAATGAATCTACGTAAAATGATTTAACGAATTTCTAAAAACTAAATTATTTAACGGTGATGTGTAAAATAAATCATAGTATTAAATCTATACATGTTACAACATGTAACTCTTTTTCTGTAATATATTACACCTATATAGCAGGATGCAGGAATATATAGATGTGGAAAATATAAAACTGAGATTTATGAAGGGGCGCGTGCTCCCTTTTTTCCATCCATGACCCATCACTGAAGCGGTGCTGAAAGAAAATCGCACGCCGGGAACCGTACGAAATTAGACGTCGTGATGCTTGGCCACCATATTATATATAATAATATTTCACGCGTATTACGTTCGAATCACAGCAACACGGGTTCGTCAATTCATCCTCGGGCCCTTCGTTTTGTGTGCACACACACACACACACACATATATATATATATATATATACTATTCAGTTCCGAGTGGAGGATAGGATGACGGACTTATACAGGACGCATGACGACTCTGCAGGCAGGCGATCATCGACGTCGTTCAAAACGGGTCGTCTGCGGGGCGATTCGTCCGCAACGTTTGCCGTCGACTAGGGCGAGGGGGGCTAGGGGTTTTGGAAGATGACGGGGATTGGGTCGGGGGTGTTTTGATTGTGTGCTATAGAGAGTACCCCAAATGCAGGAAACGTCGGAGAGGTGGACTAGGGGAAAAAGTGCCTACGGGCCGGATGCCGCCAAACTATGCGTGCGAATCGACGGTGGCAGCAGCAGGGACCGGGCGCGGTTATGTTTGCCGTTGGGCTTAAGGGACGCGTTTTCGACAACGACGACTACGACGACGGTCGTCGAGATTGCGATTTTCAAGTGTACCTACACCCCTCCCCATCATAACCGTCGACTATTATAGTCGTACGCCTTCGCCTTTGCCTTCGATGCCGCCGCCGCCGTCGTTTCCATGGCTGCTCGTCGCGTCTTGCACTACCGAGAGTTTTGCACCGCGTAGACCGTACTTATATATACATATATATTTTGGATACTATATATACTACTGTAATAATTATATCAAAAATACTTCGTCTCATTATTGTCATCGCGTCTCGAAACTACCGTTATCGTTAAATTAGTTTTGATTTTACTACGTAATTTCAAATTTGTAGCATTCGATTTGTCTGGTTCCGTGGATAAGTATAGCAGTGAGTGGAAATGATAATTAATGTATTCGCCTTTAAAAAGCAATTATCACCTTGTTATGTCCTTTATTCGCTGAAGATTTATCGATGTATTCGTTGTCGCAGTCAAATTTGACTGTGGCGCGGCGAATCGTTTGGTTGTCGTTTTTTTCCCAGCGGAAATCAAATCACGCAACCCCGGTCATCAACCGATCACCCCTCTTGCCCACCCTAACAACCATCCGCGGTAAATACCATTGTAGTATTTATCGCTCGACGCGCGGTCGCTCACTCTTTCTAAACAACGGCCCAGTGCGACAACACAGCACCACAGCGCCGCACACAATATAATAATAATGATAATAATAATAATAATAATAATAATAATAATAATAATAATAATAATAAT